GGAAGTAGGAGCGGGTACCTGTCAAAACCAGGTATCCGCTCCTCCAAATAAGTGCCAAATATGGCAGTGGAGGGGGGGCAGGAGGTAAAGAGGCGGAGCTTGCACGTTTGGGTAGAACTCCGCTTTAAGACTAGTCATTACAGAACATGGACCTTTGTGTGTGCAGGAGGCCTTCAACGTTCTGCCACTTCTATATTTATATTACATTATATTGGGGAAATTGGGGACATTGTCTCCCAACCTCATCTCTATGATTACCAATAGAAGAAACATATATATGTATACTTTATATAAAAATAAAGACGGCTTTCCACAGCTACCCAAAACGAGATGAAACTTTTTTGTGTTTCTGGAATTGCCCTTTGAGACGTTAGCAGAGTCACACACTATCACTGCTGCAGCGCGTTAATCAATCGTGTAGGCACACACTTTATTCATGCTTAGCGAGAACACAGTTTCAATAAAGTTTTATGATGTCTTTTTTTTTCCGGTTTCGTGACGCAATCAGTGTGTGCCGGATGTGTGATTCCGGAGCCCCCACGTGTCTGCTGAGAGAGTGATTGCGGACCGGGACTCGAGTAGGCAGGTATGTCAGGCAATATTTTCTGCCTCGGTTGTATAAACTTTAGCTTTCCCCATACAGCGCTGAACTACAGCTACCAGCGTGCCAAGCCTCTTCATCTTAGTTGCATATCTCTTCTGCTTGGTCTCTCTCGAAAACTTTTTAACGGGCGAGTTTTTTCCTTCTTTCCTGAGTGTTGTATAATAAAGCAAAGTGCATCTTCGGTGATCTGTTCCTGTTTAATCTTTCCTAATAATACAAGTGGATGGTATGGGTGCTTAGTGCACTCTCTGAGGAGGAGGGGTGAGGAAGACAAAGTTTTGGAACCTGCAAGGCTAGGTTCACATCTATGCTGTTTACGTTTGATCCATTTCTGCAGGGCTTTTTGCAGTGCATTTGGTATTTGTGCACACGTTTTTTGACGCACTTTTTGTTTTTATGGGTGTTTTGCGCAGCGCGTTGCTGGGCAGATTAATACAAAACGCATCAAAAGCGCACTGCAAGTGTTTGTGCAGCATCTCCATTAACCACTTACCTACCAGACACTTTTAACCCTTCCTGCCCAGGCCAGTTTTCAGCGCTCTCGCACGTCATGCGACACTGTACACATTACATTTTATAATTTTTTTTTAAACCGCTTTCTTTTGGTGGTATTTATTCACCACTGGGTTTTTTATTTTTTGCTAAACAAATTTAAAAAGACTGAAATTTTTGAAGGAAAAAAAAAGTTTGTTTCTCGGTTTTAAAACTTTTTATTTTCACACTGTCCCTTTTTTAGTTTTTTTTTATTACTTTTATTCCTATCCCAAGAAATATAGACATCCCTTGTGATAGAAATAAGGCATCTTTATGGAGACATCTGGGTTCTTTGAGACCAGATATCTCCTCTACCCTGAAAAGCCTGAGATTAAAAAAAAAAAATCGATCTCTGTTTTCCAGAAAAAAAATGGCAGTGTTTACATTTGATCCCAATGCCATCACTTCTGGCCTCCCAGGACCAGAGAGATGGTAAGTTTCCATGATCAGTACTAATAAAAAGCACTGACACTATACTAATGATACTGGGCAGGAAGGGGTTAACATCTGGGGCGATCAAAGGGTTAACTGTGTGTGTTTCACATTGTTTGCTGTGTTTTACTAGGGAGACATGCTGCTTTGTATCTCGCTGCTGACAGTACAGAGATCTGTGTTGTTTACACACATCTCTCTCCCCTCTCAGCCCTGCCGATGATCACTGAGTCCCGACCGGGACCCAGTGATTGACATCCCCAGCAGCCAATAGTGGCATGGAAATGCAAGTTGCGTATATATACATGATTTGTGCAGCCATGCCGCCCTGTAGCAGTACGTTTGCTATAGTGCAGAGAGCAACTGATTAACCTGCCCAGCAACAAGTATGGCCAAAAAAAAAAAAATGCATGTAAAACACTGCAAAAAGCACTACAAAACAGACAAAACACAAACTGCATTGGTGTGAACCAAGCCTGAAATGCATTGAAAACGCATCAAAAATGCACGTTTTGTTGTTTTAACCTGCCCAAGTTGGCCGAAAACAAAAAAAATAAAAAAAAAAACGCAAAACACATTACAAAATGTGTCAAAAACGCGCATGCAAAAAGCACAAAACACAAAAATTACCTTAGTTTGAACTAGGCCTGAAATGAATTGAAAACCCATCAAAAATGGACACTTGGTGCATTTTGATGCAGTTTTTTTTAGTCACATAAACCTATGAAAAACGCACCCTAAATATGGTAAAATCGTGAGTTTTCGGTGGCCATTATTGGAACCTTTTTTCCTATGGGCAAAATGCTGATAACACTATTTTTTGCCAATACATTTCAGTCCCCAATATATCAGTGCATCCCTAGTGGGTAGCCCTGTCATCAGCACCCGGTTGGATAAAATTCAGTCTAACAATTGAAGGAGCCAGATGGGAAACCCCATGCCGTGTTTTCCCAACCCTTTCCTTAACCAGTGAAAAAAAAACCTGCTCCTAAAAGCTTCTAAACGTCTATGTGTGCAAGGACACATAGGATAATATGGAGGGCTGTATAGAAGCAGTAAAAAAAAAAGTCTGACACCCCTAAAAGTAACTGCAAAAACATCCTGTGTGCATGAGGCCTGAATAGTGACAGCAGGTGTGGGGGGAGGAGATCGGGGGAGGGAGTTGTGAGGACTGGAGCACAGTAACATGTTACCAAAACAAAAGATGAAGCTATCTTTTAATGCCTATGAACCGCCTAATTCATGCCACCCTATGGCCAGGATATTGAAAGATGGGCTTGCCATGGAAGAGGTGAGCAATGAAAAAAAAAAAATGGTTAGATGGCATGCCTAGTGGTGTATTTTTGAACTTGCACCTTTCTGGCGTCTTACAATGGCTGAAAATAGGTATGTGCATCCAAAATTTTAGTTTTTAGAGAGGGAAAGGGTAGGGAAGGTTATTTTTTGCTGTTTTCTGCTGGGGAAATTTCCTTTCACTTCCTGTTCCTGAGATGTATCAGAAAGTGAGGTTCCCCTCCTGGCTTTCACTGGAAACGTTGACCCTATTGGATTATCTCACCTCCCCTGAGACGTAGTTCCGGGCACCGGGCAGGTAGTTTCTTTTTACCTTCATCCCTGCAGCAGCAGAGCTCACCTGTCAGGTGGAAGCATTTGGGTGGCAGCGCTGCCGCCCAAATGCTTACACACAGTGCCAGCCTCACTGCTCCCCCTGCCCACTGTCTCTCCACTTGCCCATCTGCGGGCCCGGGAGCGGCTCACTGCCGGAAGTTCCCCTTCTTGTCTTGACCTGGAAGTCACGTTATGATGTCACTTCCAGGTCCCCGTTGAGAGATTCCTGGCATTGGAGGCCAGGAAAGAATGTAATGCAGTGCGATGTGCACTGCATTACATTCAGGGGAGCAGAGGGGAGACATCCAGGGTCTTTTAGACCTTGGATGTCTCAGTAAAGAGAACCTGTCACCAAAAAATCATTACATGGGGACATTGTCCAAAAAAAATTGAGCCCCTCCCCCACATATGCGCACATTCAAATGTAAAAGCACATGCTGGAGCGCCTATGCATGAAAGCGTCGATTGCGATACACATGTTACATAATGCTGCGCACGTCAGAATGAGAGTAATCATTTTAGCACCAGACCTCTTCCGTAACACTATACTGATGAGCTAGAAGGGACTTTAAAAGCGTCACCTATCGAAAATATAGGGTACTGAGGTTTGTCGCCATTTCACGAGTGCACGCAAATTTAAGATTTGACAAGTTGGATATCTGTTTACTCATTGCAACCTCATCTTTTATAATTTACAAATAGGGAAAATTATCGCCTTTTTTTTTTTGTGCCTTAAAATTTACCAACTTGTATTTTTACTGAAATTATGCGGTAATATTTATTTCAGGTACTTATCTAGCGCCATCAATTTACGTGGCGCTTTACATATATATTGTACATTCACATCAGTCCCTAACCCTCAAGGGGCGTACAATCTAAGGTCCCTAGCTCACATTCATACACAGACTAGGGCCAATTTAGACAGGATCCAATAAACCTACCAGCATGTCTTTGGAGTGTGGGAGGAAACCAGAGTACCCGGAGGAAACCCACGCAGTCACAGGGAGAACATGCAAACTCCAGGCAGGTGGTGCCGTGGTTGGGATTCCAACCAGCGACCCTAGTACTGCCAGGCGGAAGTGCTAACCATTTAGCCACTGTGCTTCCCTAATATCATGCAATATAAAAAATTGGAACTACCACTATTTTATTCTCTAGGGTCTCTGAATTCAGAAAATATATCATGTTTGGGGGTTTTGTGTAATTTTCAGGCCTAAAATGATTTTTTTTAATCTTGTGCAAAAAACGCAAAAATGGCTCTGGCAGCGAAAGGGATAAAGCATAAGCCAGACACTCCCCTTTTCTGACAAGCACCCAATTAGTGCACATTATACTGCATGGTGTTTCTCTGCTCCCTGCATGTCCATGAATGCAGTGCTAGAGACAGGCAGAGAGGGAATAAACAGCACAGTGTTAAACATATTAAACTTTTAAGTCACCATAACACCCCTTTTGTTTTTAAAACATTCCTAATATCACCTCCAATTTAAATACAGTTTTGGTTAAAAACATTTTTTTATCTGGACAAGTAGTTTGTCATGATTGACAAGTAGATTGGGACACTGATTTAGTCCATTGGACAAGTAGTTTTTTCAAAAATTTCCACACCCCTGACAAATAGAGTGAATATTCCCAGCAGAGGCATAGACCGCAATAAAAACCTGTCAGGGGTTATAAATTTCCCATGCTTAAATCATAACAAAAAAAAAATCCTTTTTCACTAATGTGTTCAATGATCTGTTTGTATCCAATAAAATGTATATCTGATGCAGCCTTTTCCAGTTTCATGGTGTTCACTCATTGAATTCACTTTTTGTTCAGGATGTCCCAAGGAGGACGAGGAGGCTTTAATCGTGGAGGAGGTGGCAGTTGGGGTGGAAGAGGGGGAGGAGGACGCGGTGGAGGTGGAAGAGGGGGATTTGGAAGAGGCGGTGGAGGACGTGGAGGTTTCGGTGGAGGTTTCGGTGGAGGACGTGGAGGTTTCGGTGGAGGACGTGGAGGTTATAACAGAGGAGGCTATGACCAGGGACCACCAGAAAGTGTTGTCGGTATGTTATATTTTAGTATGGTAATATAGCTGTTTTCCAGACAGAACTCATATCTAAAATATTGCTGGTAAAACCTGTACAGAGCCTTTTTTAAATGTATATGAAAAGATATCCCCTTACTGTTTGAATATGCTCTTTAGTCTCTGTGCAATTACTATGCCGCTAATCATTTTCTTGTTGCAGAGGTTGGAGAGTTCATGCATCCTTGTGAAGATGATGTTGTGTGTAAATGTATAACAGAAGAAAACAAAGTACCTTATTTTAATGCCCCCATTTACCTGCAAAACAAAGAGCAGATAGGAAAAGTGGATGAAATATTTGGGCAGCTGAGAGACTTTGTATCCTTTTTACAAATGTTTTAATTACATTGTACACTCTATTGCCAACGTATTGGGACACCTGCCTTTACACACACATGAACTTTAATGGCATCCCAGTCTTAGTCTGTAGGGTTCAATATTGAGTTGGCCCACTCTTTGCAGCTATAACAGCTTCAACTCTTCTGGAAGGCTGTCCACAAGGTTTAGGAGTGTCTATGGGAATGTTTGACCATTCTTCCAGAAGCGCATTTGTGAGGTCAGGCACTGATGTGAGACGAGAAGGCCTGGCTCTCAGTCTCCTCTCTAATTCATCCCAAAGTTGTTCTATCAGTTGAGCAGGCCAGTCAAGTTCCTCCACCCCAGACTCGCTCATTCATGTTTTTATGGACCTTGCTTTGTGCACTGGTGCGCAGTCATGTTGGAACAGGAATGGGCCATTCCCAAACTGTTCCTACAAAGTTTGGAGCATGAAATTATCTAAAATGTCTTGGTATGCTGATACCTTAAGAGTTCCCTTCACTGGAACTAAAGGGCCAAGCCCAACCCCTGAAAAACAATTCCACACCATAATCCCCACCCCCCCTTCATCAAACTTTACTCTTGTCACAATGCAGTCAGGCAAGTACCCTTCTCCTGGCAACCACCAAACCCAGACACGTTCATCTGATTGCCAGACAGAGAAACGTGATTTTTCAGTCCAGAGAACACATCTCCGATGCTCTAGAGTACAGTGGCGGCATGCTTTACACCACTGCATCCGATGCTTTGCATTGCCCTTTGTGACTGAGGCTTGGCTGCAGCTGTTCGGCCATGGAAACCCATTCTATGAAGCTCTCTATGCACTGTTGTTGTGCTAATCTGAAGGCCACATGAAGTTTGGAGGTCTTTAGCTATTGACTTTGCAGACAGTTGGCCACTTCTGTGCACTTCAGCAAGCGCTGACTCTGTCATTTTACGTGGCCTACCACTTCGTGGCTGAGATGCTGTTGTTCCCAGTTGCTTCCATTTTGTTATAATACCACTAACAGTTGACCGTGGAATTTTTAGTAGCAAAGACATTTCATGTATGGAGTTATTGCACAGGTGGAAACCTATCACGATACCACACTTGAGTTCACTGAGATCCTGAGAGCGATCTATTCTTTCACAAATGTTTGTAGAAACAGTCTGCATGCCTAGGTGCTTGATTTTATACACATGTGGCCATGGAGGTGATTGGAACACCTGAATCCAATGATTTGGAGGACTGTCCCAATATTTTTGGAAATACAGTTGCAAGAAAAAGTATGTGAACCCCTTGGGATTACGTGGAGTTTTGCATGAATTGGGCATAAAATGTTCTCTGAACGTCATCTAAGTCACAACAATAGAAGAACACAGAATACAACATCAGAATATATAGATATATAGATGACCCAAATCCAGGGGGGGATACGAAGGGAACAATAGCCCTTAATAGACAAATGACAGTGGTTTAGTGCAAGATAAAGTGTCCATAGTTCATATATCTAAAGAAGTGCAGGTGAATCACAGCACACTCCAAACGTGATCCCAGGCAGTCTTGCTGCAATGGCCTCTCACCTCCACTCTATGACCCCACAGGGCCACAAAGCATAGTGTAGATCACCTCGGGATCCTCCAATTCAGTGACTCTTTAGATAGGATGGCATCACATGAACAAGGACAGTATTCATCCAGACCAGTAGGCAAACGGAAAAAACTCTCCTCCGATGTCACAACCGCTCATAGGCTCATAAATGAGATAAACACAGTCCTCATAGTGTATTACCGCTTTAATGGCAAATGGGCAGCAGACAACCAAAAAGAAGGAGATAATCCACTTACATGGCAACAGCTCGTATACAGATGATAACAATGTGCTGGGTGTACAGCAAGATCACAAAGGTGCACCAAGATGGCGTCACGCCGGAAGTACGTCACCACGCTAATGCCGTCGACGCGTTGCGTCACGTAACTCGTTACTTCATCATGACCATTGTTGTTATCTGTATACAAGCTGTTGCCATGTAAGTGGATTATCTCCTTCTTTTTGGTTGTCTGCTGCCCATTTGCCATTAAAGCGGTAATACACTATGAGGACTGTGTTTATCTCCTCATTTATGAGCCTATTAGCGGTTGTGACATCGGAGATTTTTTCCGTGGGCCAAAAGTTCAGTGAATGGATCATCTACAAGGACCGACATCCTTTGCAGATGTCGACTTGTAGTTCTCAATTAACTGCCTCAGCTCTGTTGAGCACTCTAGTAGTTCATTGATTCTTTCTGTCAGAGTGTAACTGCCTGCCCATACAATGTACGGGTAGACAGCTTACAGTGGCAGTCAGCAGGAGTGAGTCCTGGATGACACTAGCAATCTGCTGATCGCTGGTGCAAATTCTTTGCAGGCTCCTACAGAAAAAATTACTAAATGCACATTTTTTTACCTGCATAAAAAGTGCCTTTATTCTTTTTTAAAAGGTGAACTTATTCTTTAATTGCTTATCGGACATATCTTCAGTATATGCTTTCTGAAGTGATATTTGTTATACTCACTAACGTTTCTATACCTTGGTACTGAATATTGTGTAATAAAGCTGAACTCCGGAGAGAAGAAAAAAGTGCCCTTACAGTGGGGTTCTCCCCCACACTGCAATAAATGCTCATTCATGCCTAGGGTACCCATAACGAGCACATTTACTTTCCTCATTCCTTGGCAGCTGGCGCTCAATCTTCTCCCTAATACTCCAACTTGTGGACAGTCTTTCGGCTTCCTCTCATGCAGTGCACTGCTATTAACCATCTGTTGTATTTGATGATGTCACAGTGCCTGCCAACAACAAAAAGGCTGCAGGACCCAGTCTTGCAGTGTGGAGGAAGCCTGCAGGAGTAGGGAAGCAGGTAAGTAAATATCTTTGTTATGGGTACCCAAGGCATAAATGAAAACTTAATCCTTGAAGTGCTGGGTAAAGGAGTGGGGTGCTCACTGCAAAGGGATTTTTTTTTTTCAACCTTAAATTTGCTCTAAATGACATTTGTATATTCCTTAATGTTTTATTTCAGTATTTTTCTGTAAAATTATCTGAAAACATGAAAGCATCATCATTTAAGAAGTTGCAAAAGGTAATTGTTCTTTTTTAGCTTTAAAATACTTTTTCACACATGGTAAAATCCTAGATTTTTTTTTTTTTTTTTTGCTAATTGTCATTTAAACCTCAAACACTTCTTATTTTCTGTTTTTTTTTTTTTTTTTTTTTTTTTTCAAAAAAACGTTTTATTGAAGTATGAAAGGTAAACAAATGATAGACAGATACGGATCGCAGTCCGTGCAAAATTTCTCGTACGTTTCCCGTAACGCAGACGGGATCAAGACAATATATTAATTTGTAGAACATCAGAGGACGGAGTTCCACAGTAAGGCAAAAGTGATAGACGTAACCATAGTAATACTGACAGCAGCAAGTACTTTAGATAATTATGTTTACACTAGGCTCTATGTAAGGAGAGTACACATAAGCGGATTCTGAAGTGGTCGACAAAAGTATCCTCACAAGGCATCTATGACAACTTCTTCATTTTCTGACCGTGAAATGAAGAAGGCAGCATCTGTCAGGTTGTTTTTATTTTCCCAAGTACAAATACACCACCACCCTTATCAGCTGGACGCACAACCAGATCCTTTATATCCAGAAGTTGTTTAATGCCCATACAGATATTCTGTTGATTCTTCAGATTTTTGACACTCAAGGAATCTAAGTCTGTAATCGCCATATCCCTAAAAATATTAACATGGGGGTGACCACTAGAGGAGGGATTAAATAACGATGCATTCCTGAAGTGTGTATTTTTAATATCACTAGGAGTGCATTTGTTGTCTACAAAGGGATTGAGTAAAAAATGCCTTTTTATAGATGCTTGTCTGGTAAATTTGTGGACATCAATATAAGTCTGAAATTTGTCTTGCCTGTGGAGCAAATTTCAGACCTCTATTCATGTTGTTTTTATTGCTCCTGCATTTTATCTTGTATATTCTCCTACCTTGTCATCTCGTGTCCCTAGTACAGCTTGTGTATTATAGTGCTTGTGGGACAGGAGGTAGTGTAAAAGAAACATAGACAGTATTAGACATAGCGAGGAGTAATCCTTTACCACTGCATCCAAAAAAAGAGAAAATTATTGGCTTCAGTTGAGTTTCAAAGAGCTGAAAACTCCATTGATAGTATAAGTATAGTATGATGTTTTACAATGTATATTTCATTTGTTTATAACAATACCCTGGATTGCTGTATACTCTGGTTGTTAAAAAAAAAAAAAAAAAAAAAAAAAAAAAAAAAAAAAAATGTCCACTTATTCTTTATGAAATAATTTATATTCTCCCCCACTCCTCAGTTTTATATAGACCCAGCAAAGCTACTACCCCTGCAGAGGTTCCTTCCTCGGCCACCTGGTGAAAAGGGTCCTCCACGTGGGGGTGGTCGCGGAGGAGGAAGAGGGGGTGGACGTGGCAGAGGTTTCAGAGGAGGTGGTGGAGGAAGAGGAGGAGGTTTGTATTCAGGATTTTTTGATGTGTATTTCTGAAAGCTTACAGTGTGCAAAGGATATAATATATATATATATATATATATATATATATATATATATATATATATATATATATATTGCGTATTCATAATGTTTAATATTCGGCCATCGGGTGAAATGCTAGTTTTTTTTCACACGTAAAGCAGTATCACTCTGTTGTACTGTAAAATGCCCATTTACTGAACATCTTGTCTGCCAGGGCAACTTAATTTTTTGCACACCTGATAAAATCTGAATTTCTTTTATGCTAGAAAATTTACCTACATATATTTTTTTGAAAGCAGAGGCCTTGAAGAATAAAGTGGTGGTTGTTGAAGTTGTCACACGATATTTGCACAGATGTTTACCAAACGAACATTTTTAGGAAAAAGTGCAAAAAGTAGAAAAAGTACACTTATATAAATTTTATTGCACACAAACAAAATAGAATACCCAACTTTTTTTGTAAAATATAAAAAAAATGGTGTTGCATCAGTTGATGCCAAACATGTCGAGTTTTAAAATTGTGCACATCTGTGAAGTGGCGACATACTACCGTACCTAAAATTGGGCATAGCTTTGGGCAAGTGACAGGTTCTGTTTATGGCTACATCAGGGGTCTTCCGTCTCTTCGGTGGGCAGGTATTCTGACGGCTTACTGCTGTCCCAGGCTGCCTTGGGCAAGTGACAGGTTCTGTTTATGGATACATCAGGGGTCCTCCATCTCTTCGGTGGGCAGGTATCCTGATGGCTTACTGCTGTCCCAGGCTCCCTGGAGGAACAGGAGAACACAGGAACCACTGCGGTGGAAAAGCCATCAGGTGGCTGTAAAGCTGCCTGAATCACTATTACATGACAACCAATCGCCAGCTGTAGAGAAAAAAAAAATGGATGGGATGTAGTTAGTGGGGGAAAAAAATGTTATACTTACCTGCTCCGTGCAATGGTTTTGCACAGAGCAGCCCCGATCCTCTTCTTTTTGTATCTCCTGTTGGTGGTCCCGGCTCCCCCAAGTGCCCCCAATAGCAAGCCTCTTGCTCGGCTCCACCCCCATTCTCTCAGTGACTCGCTGTCTGTGATTGACAGTAGCAGGAGTCAATTGCTCCTGCTGCTGTGTGAGCCAACGAGAGGAGCGAGACCCTGGAGAGCCATGGCTCTTATGCACATCGCTGTAGTGAGATGGAGCTCTGGTTAGCTTGGGGGGGCTGCATCCAGAAGGTTTTTTACCTTAATACATTAAAGTGTTACTAAATTCACAACAGTAAAATCAGCCTGTAAATGTAGTAAAGCATGTTTGTTCTACTCATTGTGGAACCTAATGGGTTAATCCTCCACATTGTGTAAAAAGGCTGTATGATTCTGTCTTCTCTGATCCTCCCAATCTTCTGTCTCCAGTCCATCTGCTGGTAGTATCTAGGAGTTCTAGGAGTCACTCTGCACGTGCTCAGTTTAGTGTATAAGGCTAGAGAGTTTGTTTTTTTTTGGGGGGGGGTTGCATGTGATCTGCATAGGGCCAATCAGCATTTCTGGCTGTGGCCATCTTGAGTAAGGGCAGATGATTTATATAGCATTTACTTCCTAGAATCTATACATCCTTAGCTCAGGCATGCAGGCAGGAGTTTATGATTAGCCAAGAAAACCCCTTCTGAAGACTCCTGGGATCTATGCCTTCATTTGCCTAGGCGTGAAAGCCAGAAAGTAACTGAAGAAACTTAAAAAAAAAAGTTTAAAACATTAAATATGGTATAATTTCCTATCTACTTACTAATGCTAGCAGCATAAGGATTAAAAATAGTCAATGTTGAACAAGAGAGTGAAGTTCCGCTTTAATTACAGTGTATCAAAAACACATACCACACCACTTTCATTGTGTATTGTTCCAGTTTAAAATATTGATGTGGTATAATTTTTTTTTTTTCTTGAAGGAGGATTCCGAGGTGGACGAGGAGGATTTGGTGGAGGTGGTGGCTTCAGAGGTAGAGGCGGAGGAGGAGGAGGACGTGGCTTCAGAGGTAATCTAGAAGGGTCATATAAGTTTTAACGTGTATTAATGGGAAATTTGGGCTTGTAAAAAAAAAAAAAAAAAAAAGAGTGTGATAATAAATGGCAAAGCCTTGTTCATTCCTTTCCAAGCAGGCTGCTGTTTTATTTATTTTTAAGAATAATTTATTGAAGGGGAAGTATGGCCAAAGCTTTTTTCCCTGTTTGACCTTGGAACTAAAGGGGAACCTAAAAGGCCATTTTCTTCCTATATCACTTTTGTAAGACAACAATAGTATGTGAATGATTTAAAGCTAAACTCCAGGAAGGTGTTGCATACACAAATTTAGCACTGTATCCATTAATACATCATTCAATTATTGTTTTTTATTATTTTTATGAGGGCAGTGTAAGTACCTAAATGTAACACGTTATCAACCTGTTGCAACCTTTTGTACAGCAGCATTCAGACTAGAGTGGGAAAAACATCACAAATAGCAAGCTAATAGGAGAAAACAAAAGAAAGTCAGAGAGCATCTCATCAGTGTGCTGTTTATCCTTTTACTGCACAGTCTCAGACTGGGGAAAAGATGAGACCTGTAAGTGTCAATTAACTGCAGCAGGTCATATGCACTGCCAGACAGGGCTGTGCTTTGTGGCAATTTGGGTAAATATCAAAACGGATGCACAGAAATACAAACCCTTTGACAGGTAAAATGGCTCTCTTGCATTTAGTGGTTTGCTTGGAGTTCACATTTATTGTACATAATGTTATCAATGTTTAATATTAAAAAAAAATAGTTGTGCTTTACTGCTACTTGTTACTTTGCAAATTTGAGGCAGCCACCAAAGCACTTCCTATGTGGTTATACAGTAGTATATGTATAACCAAAACGTTCTAGTTTTGGATGGAGCAGGGAAGGGTTAACCCCCCTCCCAGGTTATTTTTCCTTGTCTATGTCACACTGGGGAGATTTCCCTTCACTTCCCGGACACAACAGGAAATCTCCCTAAATTGTGGGGATTCCCATCTTTGGCAGTTGGCACTAAAATATTTGCCCATTGGATGATCCCCCTCCCTGTCTATTCTACAGATTTGCTATATTTAATAGAATAACAAAAATATGGAAAAGCAAACTTGCAGAAAAATGGATACCCTATAAAACATGTACCGTATTTTTCGCTCCATAAGACGCACTTTTTTTCCCCCAAAAAAGGGGGGAAAATGTCAGTGCGTCTTATGGAGCGAATATAGAGCGGCCGGTCCGGTATTTCCACCGCCGCCCTGTCAGAATACCGGGCCCGGCCGCTCAGCTCTGCAGCGGGACCTTACCTGTCCCTCTATCCAGCGGCGCGCTGTCTTCCCGGCTTCTGTAGTGTGCGTGACAGCCGGGTCCCAAGTGCGCATGAGCAAGAAGCAGTGCTCTTTGTGAATGGTAAGGCGGTACCTGGGACACATGACAGATCCCAGAAGCCGCCAGACCAATCAAAGCGCAGCGCTTCTCGCGCATGCGCACTGGGCATCCGGCTGTCCGACGAGCGCCCACACTACAGAAGCCGGGAAGACAGCGCGCGGCTGGATAGAGGAACAGGTAAGATACAAAAAAAAAAACTGCGGAAGTAAGAGCGGGTACCTGTCAAATTCAGGTACCCGCTCCCCCTCCCTCCCCAAAGGTCAGCAGTCATCTGTACTGTCCGCAGTCTCTGGTCATCTCCTGTGCTGTCCGCAGTCTCTGGTCATCTCCTGTGCTGTCCGCAGTCTCTGGTCATCTCCTGTGCTGTCCGCAGTCTCTGGTCATCTCCTGTGCTGTCCGCAGTCTCTGGTCATCTCCTGTGCTGTCCGCAGTCTCTGGTCATCTCCTGTGCTGTCCGCAGTCTCTGGTCATCTCCTGTGCTGTCCGCAGTCTCTGGTCATCTCCTGTGCTGTCCGCAGTCTCTGGTCATCTCCTGTGCTGTCCGCAGTCTCTGGTCATCTCCTGTGCTGTCCGCAGTCTCTGGTCATCTCCTGTGCTGTCCGCAGTCTCTGGTCATCTCCTGTGCTGTCCCGCAGTCTCTGGTCATCTCCTGTGCTGTCCGCAGTCTCTGGTCATCTCCTGTGCTGTCCGCAGTCTCTGGTCATCTCCTGTGCTGTCCGCAGTCTCTGGTCATCTCCTGTGCTGTCCGCAGTCTCTGGTCATCTCCTGTGCTGTCCGCAGTCTCTGGTCATCTCCTGTGCTGTCCGCAGTCTCTGGTCATCTCCTGTGCTGTCCGCAGTCTCTGGTCATCTCCTGTGCTGTCCGCAGTCTCTGGTCATCTCCTGTGCTGTCCGCAGTCTCTGGTCATCTCCTGTGCTGTCCGCAGTCTCTGGTCATCTCCTGTGCTGTCCGCAGTCTCTGGTCATCTCCTGTGCTGTCCGCAGTCTCTGGTCATCTCCTGTGCTGTCCGCAGTCTCTGGTCATCTCCTGTGCTGTCCGCAGTCTCTGGTCATCTCCTGTGCTGTCCGCAGTCTCTGGTCATCTCCTGTGCTGTCCGCAGTCTCTGGTCATCTCCTGTGCTGTCCGCAGTCTCTGGTCATCTCCTGTGCTGTCCGCAGTCTCTGGTCATCTCCTGTGCTGTCCGCAGTCTCTGGTCATCTCCTGTGCTGTCCGCAGTCTCTGGTCATCTCCTGTGCTGTCCGCAGTCTCTGGTCATCTCCTGTGCTGTCCGCAGTCTCTGGTCATCTCCTGTGCTGTCCGCAGTCTCTGGTCATCTCCTGTGCTGTCCGCAGTCTCTGGTCATCTCCTGTGCTGTCCGCAGTCTCTGGTCATCTCCTGTGCTGTCCGCAGTCTCTGGTCATCTCCTGTGCTGTCCGCAGTCTCTGGTCATCTCCTGTGCTGTCCGCAGTCTCTGGTCATCTCCTGTGCTGTCCGCAGTCTCTGGTCATCTCCTGTGCTGTCCGCAGTCTCTGGTCATCTCCTGTGCTGTCCGCAGTCTCTGGTCATCTCCTGTGCTGTCCGCAGTCTCTGGTCATCTCCTGTGCTGTCCGCAGTCTCTGGTCATCTCCTGTGCTGTCCGCAGTCTCTGGTCATCTCCTGTGCTGTCCGCAGTCTCTGGTCATCTCCTGTGCTGTCCGCAGTCTCTGGTCATCTCCTGTGCTGTCCGCAGTCTCTGGTCATCTCCTGTGCTGTCCGCAGTCTCTGGTCATCTCCTGTGCTGTCCGCAGTCTCTGGTCATCTCCTGTGCTGTCCGCAGTCTCTGGTCATCTCCTGTGCTGTCCGCAGTCTCTGGTCATCTCCTGTGCTGTCCGCAGTCTCTGGTCATCTCCTGTGCTGTCCGCAGTCTCTGGTCATCTCCTGTGCTGTCCGCAGTCTCTGGTCATCTCCTGTGCTGTCCGCAGTCTCTGGTCATCTCCTGTGCTGTCCGCAGTCTCTGGTCATCTCCTGTGCTGTCCGCAGTCTCTGGTCATCTCCTGTGCTGTCCGCAGTCTCTGGTCATCTCCTGTGCTGTCCGCAGTCTCTGGTCATCTCCTGTGCTGTCCGCAGTCTCTGGTCATCTCCTGTGCTGTCCGCAGTCTCTGGTCATCTCCTGTGCTGTCCGCAGTCTCTGGTCATCTCCTGTGCTGTCCGCAGTCTCTGGTCATCTCCTGTGCTGTCCGCAGTCTCTGGTCATCTCCTGTGCTGTCCGCAGTCTCTGGTCATCTCCTGTGCTGTCCGCAGTCTCTGGTCATCTCCTGTGCTGTCCGCAGTCTCTGGTCATCTCCTGTGCTGTCCGCAGTCTCTGGTCATCTCCTGTGCTGTCCGCAGTCTCTGGTCATCTCCTGTGCTGTCCGCAGTCTCTGGTCATCTCCTGTGCTGTCCGCAGTCTCTGGTCATCTCCTGTGCTGTCCGCAGTCTCTGGTCATCTCCTGTGCTGTCCGCAGTCTCTGGTCATCTCCTGTGCTGTCCGCAGTCTCTGGTCATCTCCTGTGCTGTCCGCAGTCTCTGGTCATCTCCTGTGCTGTCCGCAGTCTCTGGTCATCTCCTGTACTGTGTCCGCAGTCCATTAGTTCAGAATTTTTTTTTCCTGTTTTCTGCCTCTAAAACCTAGGGTGCGTCTTATGGTCAGGTGCGTCTTATGGAGCGAAAAATACGGTATATCTTAATAAACACTGTAATAATAATGTAAAATATTTGCTCACTATAAATACCCAATACTTTACACTTAAAGGGTTTGAAAGGCCAAAGGTGTGTTAAAATAACTAGCAAGACTGAACTTTCGGTGGCCTTAAAATTTCTGATATTAATTATGGGATGTTTTTAAATGGACTCTAAACATGTGAGTGTATGTATATCATGATTATCTAATCCTAAATATATAGTTGCTCACCGTGAATAATTTATTTCTTCTCTACAGGAGGCCGGTAGTATGTTCTTTGAAATCCAGAGGTGGTTGGTGCCTTTTGGAAACGTCCTTATTTGTGAAAATGTTTGGAATGTAGCCTCTGGTTTTTCGTTTTTACGGTAAAATCCTAACACATCCTAAAGATGAGAACCTTGACGTCGTTATCTCAGTGACGGTGTTATCTCCGTGTGTGTACATACATGAGACATTATGGACCTAAATCAGTTATGTCATTCTTAAACCCAGACGTTCTTCGTGGATTGATGTTTCATCTGAAGAATTTTTTTTTTATAGAACTAATTTTATAATTATTCATGCTTTTGTCATGTAAATATGGGAACATTGTATTGCTAAATGATGCCAAGTCAATAAAATGTTTCTACCATTTTTTACACTTGTCTTGTATTACACATGTTAACTGTATATTTCAAATGGTTTTAAACAAATATCAAAGTGGAAACGGGATCATAGTTATTTTTCCTCTCTAACACCACACAAGCTGTAATTTCCATTCTTCTCTAACACTGCACATGCTGTAAGTGGGCACCACAGTGCTCTGCAGCTTGTGTTGCTCTGCTGTGCATGTTAATGACCTACACTTTTTTTAATCCAAAATATTAAACTAGTGTGTCGAGAGCCGCAGGCATACATTATGTTTTGGTGCTAAAAAGTCATCTGCATATGTGTTCTAGTTATGTGGAATCACATATGTAAGAAAGTCAGCATGACAGACGGGCACCTAATTAGCACTTTCAGAAAGTTGTGGACACCTCCATGCTTTTCCTAAGAAAGTTCTTTCTGTTTTTAACTTTTAAGTGCCTTAACCCCTTCACTGCCACTGCTTACGGTGGTTGCAGCGCTGGGAGTTATACACTTCACAAGCCAGATGTCAGATTTTCTAGCTGCATAGCCAAGGCCAACACGCCCCACTTTGTTGCTTGTGAGCAGCACCCAGCCGGAGCCTCACTGTCCAATAACTACAGCAGGCCTGGCAGGGGATGTCACAGCTAAACTGACCACAGAGATACAGGAACACCATGTGTAGGCAAAGAACCCTGCAACGCCTTTTGAGGGAAGCATTGGTGCATAAACTGACCACGCCAGTGTGAATCTGCTTTTGTGATTTGGCATGGTCAGATTGGAACTGCAAGGAAGACGAACTGTCAAAATCATGTGGTAAATTAAGTGATGTAACTTTAGGAGGCTACAGTTACGAACATAGCCATGGAAACAGGTACATTTAAAAAAAATAAAAAAAACAGCCTACATTCACGCGGGTGCTTGGCACACCCTGCAAGATTCTGTGGATTCCTGCATTTGGAATGACAGATGTGCGATCACAAAATGCATCCATCACTTGATCACCACAGGTAATTGCTGGCTGTATAAACAGTCCCAAATATCTGTGGCCACCCTTAGGCCTGTCATTGGATTGTATGGGCTGTGGGTCTGCAGCTATTTGCACAGAAATTCGCAGGTTCTTGTTGCTGGAATTTGAAAAGTGTACTAATTGCCCTTGTAAATGGACCTTTAGGGGTAACGTACACTTTAACATAACAGCCAGGCAACTAGCATTTTCAGAATTGCATTAGAAATGGCATCCTAAGTATTTTCCTCATGGCAAGTTTAAGATTTTTAAGAGCGCAGTCAATCTCTATAGAATAATATGACTCAAAACATTGATATATGCAGACTTACTCTGGTTTTTGCACATACAGTACATTACATGCATTGGTTTTCCAAGATATCCCCTTTCTACTGGATGGTTAGTATACCAAGGTCAACACCATTTAAAGTGGACACTTCTGAATTATTTCATCTGTCAGTGGCTCCATTAGTGGTTTTTCTTTTTAAAGTAGTATAAATTTCTGCAAATTTATGTTTAAGTGCCACTAGAACCAGGGGTGGGCAACCCACGGCACAAGTGGCACGCAAAGCCTATTTTGCCGGCACACGACTCCCTCCCCATCAGCAGAGTAGCGCAGTAAGGGTCAGTGAGACCCAGCTTTAGCTGCACTCATGGATTGCGGGGCGGAAGATTAGAGGGCTACAGATGTGGGACTGATTTGCAGGAGGTACAGTGGTGGGACAGATGAGCAGGTGGGTTCAGTGTTAGGACAGATGAGGACAGGGTTCAGCAGTGAGATAGAAGAGCAGGAGGGTAAAGTGGTGGAGCAGATATTCAGGGAGGTACAATGGCTGGGCAGATGAGAAAGGGGGGATACATTGGTGGGACAGATGAGTAGGGGGTTACAGTGGTGGGGACAGAAGAGCAGGGGGGTACAGTGGTGGGACGGGTGGGTTGGGTACAGTGGTGGGACAAATGAATAGGGGGGTTCAGTGGTGGGATGATCAGTTTGGGGGGTACAGTCGTGGGACAAATTAGCAAGAGGGTACAGTGATCTGAGGTGCATGAATTGGGGCTGATCTGAGGGCTGAAGGTGCAGGAACTGGGTCTGATCTGAAGTGTGAAGTTGCAGGAATAGATTGTTACAATGTTATGAAGGACTAATTTGTGTCACATTCCAAGCTGTTTGATAATAGGGGCATGTGATGGAATTAAGCTCTCTAGAAAAGAGGCTCTGAATGAAAACTAAGCAGTTCATTGTGAATATGCCAAGTTCTGTGCTAGTCTTTGTTTAGCTAACAAGCTTTGCTCGACACAAACCTGTGGTACAAATCTTGTCATTTATTCAAGCAGTTTAACGCTCAAGCAACCCATGAAATAATGACCGGGAATACTGGTGGACAGTCATTGCACTGAGACACATTCATGACAGCTAAAAAACGTGAAATGGACAAAACATCGATCTCCTCCTGGGTTGAGAATGGTTCTGCTGCTCCCACTGAGGTTCCTTCTGTGTTTTCTCAGTATGAACATAATATTGTTGCAGCCTATCTAATAACAGCAGGTATGATCTTATTCTTTTAAGACTTTGTAGATTTAGGTATTTTTTCATATTTGGATGGTACACACTATATTACAGAAGCTTTAATAATTAGAAAGAAAACCTGTTAGGGGAGACGTGGAAAGACCTAAGCTATCCCTAAAATGCAAGTTTATTAGCATGCATTGCTCAAGTATTTTGAGTCACTAACCCAGAACATGCAGATATAGACCTCTGACTGTTCTCCAGCTTTCCTGGTCTGCATACTTGTTTAAGGTCACTCAAATGGTATTGTAGCCATAGGGTCCGTATAACAGCCAGGCACATAGAATTTTCAAAAGATCCTCAATGGCAGCACTGTGATTTTAGGTTGAACTGGATTCAACCTTATAAACTATGTAAACTATAGATTCTGAATTGTTAACATAATTTTGCTATTCCAAGCTGAGGTTTGCTATGTACAGGTCAGTAAACCGCATTTAGTTAATGTTTCGTAAATTTACATTACACGTTGCTTGTTAGAGGATAGGTGACTAAGTCAAGCTGAACTTCTATTAGGCACAGACAGCTTACCGTACTATACATAAACCTTCCCCCAAAAACCCTCAGCTTTTTTAAAAAACTAGTGTTGCTAATAGATGGCAACATTTTATGAATTTTGGGTATGTATGTTACTAAGATTTATGCATAGTTTTTTTATATTACAAGTTTTGAGTTTGTTTCGTTTAAATCAGTGCCAAAGGTCTCACTTTTGTTCACACAGGGGTAATAAGCATTTCAAGCAACATTGTGGTTCTGGGAATTTTTGTAAAATACAAGGAACTTCGCACAGCAACCAATGCCATCATTATCAATCTGGCATTTACTGATATTGGAGTCAGTGGGATTGGTTATCCTATGTCTGCTGCTTCCGACCTTCATGGAAGTTGGAAATTTGGATATGTAGGATGCCAGGTATTAAACATTTTGGGCATGTTTAATTATGTATAATGGTAGGCAAACTTTTCTGGAATTGTTTCCTTTGCACTTTCACAAATACTATCTTGATTTTTGTCATGTTATATACAGGTGAAACTCGAAAAATTAGAATACCGTGCAAAAGTTCATTTATTTCAGTAATGCAACTTAAAAGGTGAAACTAATATATGAGAGAGACTCATTACATGCAAAGCAAGATAGTTCAAGCCGTGATTTGTCATAATTGTGATGATTATGGCTTACAGCTCATGAAAACCCCAAATCCACAATCTCAGAAAATTAGAATATTACATGCAATCAATAAAACAAGGATTGTACATAGAACAATATCGGACCCCTGAAAAGTATAAGCATGCATATGTACTCAGTACTTGGTTTGGGCCCCTTTTGCAGCAATTACTGCCTCAATGCGGCGTGGCATGGAAGCTATCAGCCTGTGGCACTGCTGAGGTGTTATGGAAGACCAGGATGCTTCAATAGCGGCCTTCAGCTCTTCTGCATTGTTCGTTCTCATGTCTCTCATCTGCCTCTTGGCAATGCCCTATAGATTCTCTATGGGGTTCAGGTCAGGCGAGTTTGCTGGCCAATCAAGCACAGTAATCCCACGGTCACTGAACCAGGTCCTGCTGGAAAATGAAGTCAGCATCCCCATAAAGCTCGTCTGCGGAAGGAAGCATGAAGTGCTCCAAAATCTCCTGGTAGACGGCTGCGTTGACCCTGGACTTAATGAAGCACAGTGGACCAACACCAGCAGATGACATGGCTCCCCAAATCAACACAGTCTGTGGAAACTTCACACTGGACTTCAAGCATCTTGCAGTGTGTGCCTCTCCATTCTTCCTCCATACTCGGGGTCCTTGGTTTCCAAATGAGATGCAAAAGTTGCTATTATCAGAAAAAAGGACTTTGGACCACTGAGCAACAGACCAGGTCTGTTTTTCTTTAGCCCAGGTAAGACTCTTCTGACGTTGTTTGTTCAGGAGCAGCTTGACAAGAGGAATACAACATTTAAAGCCCATGTCCCGTCTGTGTGTGGTGGCTCTTGATGCACTGACTCCAGCTTCAGTCCACTCCTTGTGAAAGTCCCCAACACTTTTGAATGGCCTTTTCCTGACAATCCTCTCCAGGCTGCAGTCATCCCTGCTGCTTGTGCGCCTTTTTCTTCCACACTTTTCCCTTCCACATAACTTTCTATTAATGTGCTTTGATACAGCACTTTTGGAACATCCAACTTCTTTTGCAATTACCTTTTGAGGCTTTCCCTCCTTATGGAGGGTGTCAGTGATGGTTTTCTGCACAACTGTCAGGTCAGCAGTCTTTCCCATGACTGTGATTCCTAGTGAACCAGACTGAGAGACCATTTAAAGGCTCAGGAACCCTTTGCAGGTGTTATGGCTTAATTAGCTGATTAGAGTGGGACACTTTGAGCCTAGAATATTGCACCTTTTCACAATATTCTAATTTTCTGAGATTGTGGATTTGGGGTTTTCATGAGCTGTAAGCCATAATAATCACAGTTATGACAAATTACGGCTTGAACTATCTTGCTTTGCATGTTATGAGTGTATCTCATATATTAGTTTCACCTTTTAAGTTGCAATACTGAAATAAATGAACTTTTGCACGATATTCTAATTTTTCGAGTTTCACCTGTATGTATAGGATCATAGCCATTTTCTCCAAGCAAACTCTAGACTCTATGAATATAATGAGGCAAGTTAGTGCTACCCACAGACAAAAGAAAGTGCTTTCCACACTGAAAAGCATTCCATTAGCAGTTTTGTTTTGTTCTTAAAAAATAAAACATGGCGTGTATTTATCATTGATTCAGTAGAAATTTGTCCAACATTTGCCATTTGTTTACCAAGATTTACTAATTCACTTTATAACAATGGTTTTCTCTCAATTTCAAACAAGATTCACCTATAACAATTGTATCAAACAAGATTCACCCAAACATTACCCCAAGATATAATAATAACACTGTATTTTCAACATTCAAATAACATTTAATTTGGCCGCATGCAATATTGTAAAATTTGTCTGCCAGCTGCCTGCGTAATACATAGAGTGAATGTTGACAGAAACCAATAGGTAAATTCTGTTGAATCTTGAGATAAATCTTTGGGTGCAATAGTCACTCAATGTAGTGCCCAGTAAATTGTTGATAAATTTGATAAATGTACCCCTGTATGTTTAAAAACTCATATGAGAGGGTGACAGATTATTATTGTACAGATGCCTGCCAGTATATTCTAAGTATGACTGTTAAATTATCCTAGGGAAACTATAATTGTTTTTCTTGAAATTGCTTTTTTAATACAAATGTATTAATTTGTATTTCTTTCTTGTCCATTGAAAGAATCAGGAAATCTTAACCCTTCGAGTTTTACTACTGCCTACAGGAGAAATCAACACTGGCAACAAAAAACTTACCCACCATAGGACAAACACATCCACAATCAGCATGCCGCAGTTTTGTAGCAAAGTAATATCAAAAGCTCATAAGCACAGAGTGGTGGGACCTGTTGCCCTGAATAGACTTTATTTTGCGGGATAACAAAAACTCACAGCATGCCTCAGTTCCTTGTGTCTTTGGAGAGTGGATGTGTTTTTTTCAGCTCTGACATTTTCTGTTCAATTTGAAGATTTTTCTACTATCAACAGCTGCTGATAGATTCATGCCAAATATATTAAATCCTGGATATCTCTTCAAGGCTTCAGTGATTAACATTTGTGTTCAAGTTCACATAGGGGTTCACTACTCAGGTCAGGCCAGTATGTTTGAGTATTCTTTCTGGAGTTCTTGGGCCTGGGCTAAGTCAGTTCTCCTGTCCCTGAAACTGTTTTGTGTACCTAGCAGTCTTGTCCGGGGTTGAGGTTTCCTATTTTCTTTTAAAAGAAAAGTATGGTCAAAGCTTTTTGGACCATAATTCTCATGTTGATCACAGGAGTGCACTTACTAGTACTCTTCTGTGACCCAGAATCAGCCGACAGTGGGTTAAAGCTTGCAGTTGTCTGACTTCATAGACCACCTCCAGGCTCTGGAAGATCCCTCTGTCCAGATGCCTGATTGGCAATGTGCTGCTGAAAGTCTGAGCCATCTGCTCTCACCCCCTCCCCAGCCCAGTGCTCCTGTAAAAACTGGATGGGCAGAACAGAGTAGTGACTGACAGTCACCGATTTCTGCTCAGAGCTGACTGAGAACTGAGAGATCAGCAGGCATATAATTGCTCAGTTCTCGGTCTTCGAGCTGAACCTCAAACTTCCCCTTTCATTTCAGCTGTGACTGTCTGTTAAATGCTTCCCGATTTTTCTCATGCAAAGATCTCATGTCAGACACCTTGGTTAAGGGTGCTGGGCTTTGAAATTATTGTATAAGAAACATTTATTATGCATGATCTTTGGGGGACAATGGGCTCCATTCACAAAAGCAAATCGCATGCAGAATTTAGGTGTGTTCCCAAATACCGCATGCAACCTGAAAATGTCAATTCACTATTGCTTTATGAGGTATTTACCACTTAAAACAAAAATGCTTGGTAAATACCACATCAAACATGAGTTAAAGTCATTTCACAAAAGGAAATAAATACATGCGCTGATTAAGTGGTGGTCCCAACATGCAATAGTTAAGGAGCCAGCAGCCGCCGGTATCTTCAACAACCAGTGAACAACATGATTGTTAAGGAGCAGGTGGCCTCCAGATCCTGTCTCCCCATGTGAATGAGTATGGGGTATTAAATTTTTTTTAAAAATTGTCCCCCGGTGTAGATCCAACATCAATCATGGGAACACCGCTAGCCAACCTGAAAAAGAGAAAAAAAAAGTCAGCTCCCCAACAAAGGCTCCCGCTGAATGATAGCTCCGCCGCCTCCCGCTGCTAAATAAACTAAGGGACAGGTCCACCTAGTGACGCCACTGGCGTTCATCATGATTGACATTGGATCTATATCAGGGGACAATTTTTTTTGCCTAATTTTTCAATTCTGTCGAACCACAGTGTTGTAAAGTGGCTAAATTATTATTTTATCTCTAGAGTAAATACCCTTTTTATGCATGCTAATATTCTGTTAGCTTTGCTTGCTGCAGCTTGGCATTACATGCCATTGCTGAGTCTGTCATCTACTATCACCCCCAGATTTTTTGCCATCCTGGATTCCCCCAGAGTGCATGTAACTTGCATTCATATTTTTTGCCCCCAAGTGCATCACTTTACATTTTGCAACATTAAACCTCATTTGCCATGTATTTGCCCACTCTTTAATTTTATTGAGGTCCTCTTGTCAGGTTTCAATATCCTGCTGTGACTTTATTGTCCTACTTAGCCTTGTATCATCCGCAAACACTGAGATTAAGCTATTTATACCAACCTCTATAAAATTTATGAAAAAAATTAAAAGCATTGGTCCCAGGATGGAGCCCTGGGGTACCCCACTTACAACTCCACACCAGTCTGAATAAATGCTTTTAATCACCACCCTTTGGACGTGCCCCTGTAACCAGTTTTCTATCTATTTACAAAACCCTCTGGTCCATGCCTACAGATCTGTTTGTAAATTAAGCATTTATAATGAACTGTATTGAATGCTTTAGCAAAATCGAGTTACACCACATCCACTGCCCTTCCTTCATCTAGATGGTTTGGCAAGAATGACCTTTCATAAAGCCATGCTGATTACTAGTAATGATGCTGTTTTCATCAGTAAAATCTTAGATATAGTCCCTTATTATCCTCTCCAATAGTTTACATACTATTGATGTTAGACTGACTGGCCTGTAGTTTCCAGGAATGTATCTTTACTCTTTTTTAAAAAAATAGAGATCTGTGTTATTTGTAATTACTAGAAGCCGGGGCATCCACCAATTGGCACATGAAGTTGTCCTGTAGCACAATTAAAAATTGACAGGCCTTAAATGAATTTGCTGTTCCTTCTGCCCAGTCAATATCTCGATAGTTGAAGTCCCCCGTAATGATGACATTGCCCTGCCGCCATTTCTACCTTTGACAGGAAATCCAACTCCTCCTCATCCTTCTAGGTAGGGTACCTGTAGCATACCTCCGCTATTAATTTCCTGCTTATTTGTTCTCTTTGAAGCTCCACTCATAGGGACTCCACCTCCCCCTTGCCCCATTTGCAATGTCATCCCTCATGTTCACAAGCAAATCATCCTTGATATACAGGCATACTCCCTCCTAATCTTCTACTCCCCCTGTCTCTCCGATATACCTTAGATTCATTGCTACTCTGATTCATTTAGCTGTATATGTGTATGCAACCTCATTTATTTATTTCCTTTTGTGAATTGACTTTAACTTCTGTTTTATGCAGTGTTTACCGAGTGTTTTTGCTTTATGAGATAAATACATAAAGCAATAGTAAACTGACATTTTCAGGATCGCATGTCAGCTTTTGTGAATGGTGCACAGTGTCCCTTAGGATCGATTCTAGATGTTATGTTTCTAGGATGCTGCCAATGGCAAAGGTGCTCTTTTTTCCCTCTTAGCTTAGTTCCAACCATCAGTCTTAGAATTTCTTAGACGCGCCTTCCTCTGCATGAAGGTGGGCTCCCACTTTCTGTGGAGGGAGGGATATTCATTAACCTTTTATGACTGTTTACACACTTTCTATCTCTGATGCTTGGGTTCAGGAAAATATTTTCAAGGGCTACACACAGGAGTTTCCAACATTTTAGCAGATCTCAATTGAGTGGTCTCGGGTCTTCTGTCCCTAGGTGTCCTTGTCCCAGTTCCTGTGACAACACACAGTTTCTAGGACATTTTTCTAGAATTTCCTGTCAAGGTGCACTCTGCTAGATCTGTGAGCTCTCTTTGGCATCAAGCAGTTTTCCCAGATTTACAAGGCTACCACCTGGTCTTCTTTTTCTTTCCCCCCTCATTTTTCTAAGTTCCACCAGGTGGATGTTCAATCTTATAATATAAAAAAATGTGCCAAAATTTATACCACTCACCCCATAAAATACCTATATTTGCTTATAAGTGTTCAAAATATATAAAAAAAAAGTAAAAAAAAAATAAATATAAATCCAAAATTATGAAAAAATAATAAAATATATAATTCCAAAAATTATATAAAACATACAGTATATAAACTTATTTTTTTTGGATATATTTTATTATTTTTTAATTAATTTTGGATTTATATTTATTTTTTTTATATATTTTGAACACTTATAAGCAAATATAGGTATTTTATGGGGTGAATAGTATACATTTTGGCACATTTTTTTATATTATTGTTTCACATCTTCAAGGGTGAAGGTGTTATTTGTGTTATGGGGATTTAAGATTTTGTCTTAGTTGAATCTTTGAATTTTTTGAATTATTTGATATATGGATGTTCAATCTTCATTTGATACCAGCTTTGGTTGCTCATTGAGCTGCAGACAGTCTACAATTTTCTATTGTTTTTTTTTTCTGTTAGTTTGTGTTCTGTTACCTGCTCCCCAGTTGGACTGCTTTTGGATGCATTCCAGAGCACATGGAATTGGATGACATGTTAAATGATTTTCTATGGAGGACGTTCACATATATACAGTCCAAATACAGTGCGTTGTCAAAAAGGGTCATGTGCATGTTTGGAGTGGTGCAATGTAAACCGCTTGTGAGATGCTTATCTGTTCAAATACAATGTGATTCCATTTTGTACTCAACATAAAATCCTTTTCTTGGAGTCTATTGAGGGACACAGGTCTGCCCTTGTTACTTCTTTGTTACAAAACTGAGGCATGTTGGTTGTGGGCATATTTATTCTGTTCTGGCTAAGGCCTCATGTACACTGCTGCTCATAAACGTGAGTTTAGGAGCTTTTGGCTTTTTTTGTCAAAGCCCCTGAACTCAAATCAATAAAAGCCTATGGGGTTTATTTACTAAAGCTGGTTCACTCAGAATCTTGTGCACTTCTGCATAGAATCCAATTTGCTTCCAGGTTTTATTGCTAAAGCTTAATTGAACAAGCTGAGGTTAGAAGCTGATTGGCTACCATGCACAGCTTCACCAGCTTCTGTTTGCTTTTAGTAAATAAACCCCTATGTATCCATGTACACATAGGCTTTTACCAGAGTTTAGGAGCAGCAGAGTTTAGGGGCAGTAAAACGTTCCTTTTCTGAACGCAGAATCATCATGTTCAGGAGAGGAACGTTTTGGCCAAAAAACGCTAAACGTTGCAAAAACACATGTAAACGTTTAGCACTTGGGCATTTATCCATGTGAATGGAAAATATACTCTGGCCAATCAAATGAATAAACGTCCAAGCACTAAACGCGGTTCCGCGTTTACATGCATTTTTGCCGCGTTTAGCGAGTTTTTCTGCTGCCCGGAGAATTTAACGACTAGGTGAGTTCATGTGTACATGAGGCCTTACAGTCTTATTTTTTTGTTGCTAGTTTCCATTTCTCCTGTCAGCAGCAGTATAATTCGGTTGGTGAATGGAGAGTACAAAAATCCTATTTTTATATATTTAAGACTTTATTTTACAAATAATCATTTAATGCAGGTGCTTCTGTGTACTTTAGTAAAAATTGAGATGAATCTCATGTGAGCCTGAAGAGAGGGAAAGTTCATCGCTACTCTACCTCATTTAGCTGTATATGTGTATGAAACCTCATATTCTTCTATTGAGGTCTATTCACAATATAAGCTACACACAATAGTAAGTCTTGTTATTAGATGGCTCTGAATGGTTCATATGCTTTACGCAATATTTGATATTTACCTGGCAAACACCATTATATGTAAAAATATATATATATTATTAATCTATTCCGTGATAAATTAATAAATATAGGTTAAAAAAAAACCTACACCCCTTGTACATGCAAAGAAAATGACAAAAAACATCCAAATTTTAAGTGCACTGATTAATTTTTGCATCTTATGCTTTGTGGGCCTTTGTCACTAGATGCTTTTTAAAGCAGTGGTCTCCAAACTACGGCCCAGGGGCCGGATGTGGTCCTTTGCTTGCCCTTATCTGGCCCTTGGGGCACTTTTTCTCCCACTGATACAAGACACTATTCCTCCCACTGTCAGCAATAAGGGGGCATAATTCCTGCTACTGACATCAAAAACAGTCACTATTCCTGTCACTGAAACAACTCACGGGGCCCTATTCCTCCCATTGACTCCAACAACGGGGCACTATTCTTCCCACTGACACCAAGGATGGGGCACTATATCTCCAACTCAGACCAAGAATAGGGCGCTATTCCTCCCCTAATGCCAAAGATGCATTGTTTACTCCCAATGGCGCAGGACAATTTCTTCTCCCAATGGCTAGTCTATAGGCTATAGACTATGGCTATAGTCGTCACCCCCCCCCCCCCCCCCCCCCCAAAGTCTGAAAGCCAGTAAACTGGCCCTTTGTTTAGAAAGTTTGTAAGCAAGGATACTGGTTTATAAGCATTTTTATTCTAAAAACTGGATACTATTATTCATTGTTTCCAGGAATTATCATGAATTTTTTTTTCTGGTTTGTAATGGTGTTATCCTGCATTTCTAGAACTAATAAAACCAAGATGAGTTAATGTTTTTTTTTTTTGTATGCTGCATGAGACCTGTATGGCATTTCTTAAAAAGTCATGATGATTTTTTATGCTTTGTGTTTATTTGCAGATCTATGCCTGCTTGAATATTTTTTTTGGCATGGCAAGCATTGGACTGCTGACTGTGGTTGCTATTGATCGATACCTGACTATCTGTAGACCCGACATAGGTACTGATTAGGATCAAATTGTGAATATGGGAGTAGAGATTTTCTTCTCAGTTTACTCCCAGATTTGTAGTTCATATTTTTAGTACATGTAAACATGATGAGCTTGGTGTATGAGAGCTTCTGAAAGAACATTCAGTGCTACCTACTACAGTAAGCAACCCTAAGCAATACAAGCAGTATTTAAAGTAGATCTAAACCCAATCTCTAAAATATCGTCATTTATTTGAAAGTCAAGTTAATTTCATAGGTCATAAGTAAATCTGAAGCTTCTAATAAAATATTACCTTGTAATGCTGCCACATACGTCCTTGTTCAGACACCTCCTGTCTCCTAATTGTACTCCTGTGTTGTAATCATGCCACATGCGGTTTCAGTGGAGACTGCAATCATTTATACCCATGCTCATTGTGCAGGTTTTCTGCCTTTTTTAACTATTGTCACCAACAAGAAGCTTGTCCAGAGCAATGACATGCCGTTGCCACTGGAGCACATAAATGTTACCGAAAGTGACAATAAAGAGGCTAAAGGGGAATAGCACCACTGGGATGAAAAAATGTAAAAACTGTATCTTGTATAAGAAAAAAACTGGCAATTGTTTTATGATACACAGGGCATGAGTAAACTAAAGGTGGTCCAATTAGGATTTAGATCTACTTTAGTTCAAGAATCTTATAACTAAGGTATTAGGTTAAATCTGTACAGGCAGAGACCTTATTTGTTTTTGCCCATTTTTTAAAGTTTACAAATGTTTAAAAACTGTTTTATATCATTAAAAAAAACATTTATACAGAACCAATATTTCGCAAATAAACATTCAATGTGTATGTAAACTCTAAATCAATGTTAAAGCAGAGCTCCACCTAAAAGGGGAAGTTCCACTTTAAGGCTTTGTCCCCTGCTCCCTGTTAATGATTGGCACCTTTGGGGAGCGGGGGGGAGGGGGCACCTGAATTTGTCAGGTATCCGCTCCCACTTCTGCTGCAATCGCCTAGGTAATCGGAAGCAGTCCTCCCCCCCCCCCCCCCCATCCTTCCCTGTAGTCTTCTAGGACACATGACAGGTCCCAGAAGAATACGGGACCATTCACAAAGTGCAGTGCTACTCGCACATGCACAATGGGCACCTGGCTGTGAAGCCACAAGCTGTCACAGCCGGGTGTCCACATTGAAGATACCGGCACCGAGGAGACAGGATGGTTGGTCAATTCCGGCCGGTGTGAGGACACCGCCGGATCGAAGGACAGGTGAGAGTCCGTTTTTTAAAAGTCAGCAGCTACAGTTTTTGTAGCCACTGACTTTAATTTTTTTTTTCAATTCCGACTGGACCTCTGTTTTAAGCTTTGTCTTTTTTTTTTTTTTTTGTAAATCTGTGGCAAAGTTTCTAACCTGGAGATTAAGAGCATTGGTGTTGTCAGACTGCCATATGCACTCTTTCAGTTTGCCATTGGGCTGCCTAGCAGGCATGCAGGAGACATGCACAGGCCTAATAGGCAGCACTTTGGTCAACTGAATGAGTGTACATGGCATCCTGACAATACTGCTGCTAATGAAAACAGGAATTGCTGTTACCGGCAGAATCTCCAAACAAGAATCTTCACAACAGATTCACAAAAATGATTTGCTAAAAATTAGTATATAATGAGGCATGGTTACGAAAATATTGAAAAAGTAGATTTTGAGTTTACATACACTTACATTCTGGAAACAAAACAAAAAACTAAATGTACAAAGCACATTGGTTTAGAATGAGAGAGCCCAGCACTGCCTGCATGCCTAAGAAAGCCCAGCATGTTTTGCTTGTTTGTCTTTTGTTTTGGACTAAGACATATGGTGCTAACTCAGAGTTCAGCAATAGTACATAATCTGAGTGTGTAAGAAAGCAGAGAGAATGGTGATTGATAACACTTATAGTATACCTCACCAGGCTATCAAATACATTGCTAATGGTAAATACATTTTCTCTGCAGGAAGAAGAATAACAAGCTATCATTATGCAGCCATGATTATTGCTGCATGGTTAAATGCCGTTTTCTGGTCTGTCATGCCTATTGTTGGATGGGCAAGCTATGCTCCAGACCCTACTGGAGCCACGTGCACAATTAACTGGAGGAAGAATGATGTGTAAGAATGATTACATTACAATGATACAACATAATATAATTACAATACACATTGATTGTCATTGATATAAAACATTACAAGGATTACATTACATAAGCATTAAGGATGATCAAAAGACTTTTACCAAGGTTTTGGTAATAAGTATGCATTATTGTTGTGATTGTTCAAGATTTTCTGAGATTTAAAGGGTCAATCCCTCCAAATATGAGATGTTAGTTGTAGGTGGAGACTAGTGGGCTATATCAGCCTCTGCTCAAACAGTGAAATGTCTCTGTTTCAAGAGATCCCATGCTGCATCTGTCTCCCGCCATCTCTAAGGATGAGAACTGAGCGATCAAACACCGTTGATTGCTCCATTCTTCCTGTCACTCTGAGCAGAGAGCAGTGACTGTCATCCACTGCTCTCTGCTGTGCCTCCCCTGAGGGCTCACTGGAGCACTGAGCTTTGGAGGGGGCAGGAGCAGCTGGTTTAGGCTCTTAGAGAGAATTGCTGAGAGACTGAGCCAGGTGTTGGTCCAGGGATCCGGGTGGATCCCAACTGTAAAGTTGGGATTTTTCCCCAGCCTGGGCCAGTTGAGTAACTTCAGCCAACAGCGGGCTAAAATCCGCTGTTGGCTGAAGTTACTCAGCTAGCCCAGGCTGGGGAAAAATCCCAACTTTACAGTTGGGATCCACCCAGATCCCTGGACCAACACCTGGCTCAGTCTCTCAGCAATTCACAGGAGTGCAGAACGAACTGCACTCCTGTGGTTCCGTAGGAGAAGTACAGCTAAACGAGCTTTGGCTGTACTTTTACTTTAAAACTGCTGTTTTGAGGAGCACTGGCCCCTATGCTCCAGAGACTTGCTCATTCTCCCAGCAGCGCAGCTGAGCTGGGTGCTGGTCCAGGCTTCTGGGTGGTCTTTTCAGAGCCTGGACCGGCTCTGTGACATTAGCCAAAGGCGGGATTTAGAATTTAAACTTTATAGCTTAGATGAATACAATATTTACCCTTTTATGTCTGTTTACATGTAGGATTATCATGTATAGCTGTTATTGTGCAGAATTAATGTTTCCATTGATTTGTGGACACTTCTCTTGCAGGTCCTTTGTTTCATACACAATGACTGTGGTTGCAGTAAACTTTGTGGTACCTCTGATGGTAATGTTTTACTGCTATTACAACGTGTCCATCACCATGAAAGGGTATGGCAGCGGCAATGGCAGCGCGGCAACAGCCTAGGGGGTGGCAATGTAGACTGGTCTGATCAGGCCGATGTCACGAAGGTATGGTTTTAATACCGAGTAATACAGTTTTTATTTTTTGGTCTTTTTCCTTTTGTTAATTTGTCCAACAACAACAGACTTTTTCATGCTAAAGTGAAAATAGAGCTTTGCAAAGTATAACTAAAGATAAAACTTTTTTTTTAGTTTTGGATAAAGTGGAGAGGGGGTTGAAGGCTTATCAGTTTTTATTGCTGTCTGTGCTCCCATTAAGGAGACTCACCCTCTCTATTTGTCCCCCTGTTTACTATTATCATTGAAAGTAAAGGAAAACACCACATTTTGGGTTGTCCCCAGTAAAGTAATAGAGGGGACATCTTCCAATTGGGACACCAGCTCTGGTGATCTGGGGGTCCCCAAGGAATTCTCTCCATTTATAGGGATTTCCTCTCACTTCTTGTGTTCCTGTGGCTATGGGACAAGAAGTGAAGGGAAATATCTGCAATGGGATACAGATGGCAAAAAAAAAAAAAAATCTGACAGGGTTTATAACCCTCCTTTGCTCTATCAAAAATGAAAAGAAGTTTTGCTTATAGTTATACTTTAATTAAAGTAGAATAATTACAATGACAAAGCGCAAAATCACTGATTGCACAAGTATACCATCCTTTTAATATGACACACCTAAATTAAAACTGGACAAGCCAATTCTTTCTCAAAGTCACATAATTAGTGAAATGGAAGATCACCTGTATATAGTCAAGGGATTACAAGTGATGGTAGTATAAATGCACTATGTGCTTCAGCATGCTCTGACCCCACTTTGTCATTTTACATGGCCTACCACTTCGTGGCTGAGTTGCTGTTGTTCCCAGTTGCTTCCACTTTGTTATAATACCAATAATAGTTGACTGTGGAATATTTTAGTAGCAAGGAAATTTCACGGATGGACTTATTGCACAGCTGACAACCTATCACGTTACCACGCTTGAATTCACTGAGCTCCTGAGAGCAACCCATTCTTTCACAAATGTTTGTAGAAGCAGTCTGCATGCCTAGGTGCTTGATTTTATACACTTGTGCCCATGGAGATGATTGGTACACATGAATCCAGTGATTTGGAGAGGTGTCCCAATACCTTTGGCAATATAGTGTATGTCGAAAGCCACTTCCCTGTAACAGTACTCTTCTATGAGTTGTCTATGGAGAAGAGCAGAAAAGGAATTAATTAGACAATGGCAAAAATCAGGACTTAAAATACTGGTTTATGAGAAACAGGGCGTCACATTGACTAAATGTTGATTTATTGTGCCAAAATAGCAATTCCACACCAATGTGATTTGAACAGTGATATAAAGATGATCGCAGGATAACAAATGTCTAAGATGACTGTGCATTAGTACTCATAGGAGATATAAGAAACCAGCATGTGATTTTATGTATCATCAGATAACTGAAGCTCACTACGTTTTTATTGCAATTGGCCTTTAAAGAGAAATGTTTTCCCATTTGTTTGTCTTGCAGATGTCAGTAGTAATGATTGTCATGTTTCTGGTGGCCTGGTCTCCCTATTCTATTGTGTGCTTATGGTCATCCTTTGGAGATCCTAAACAAATTTCACCGGCAATGGCTATCATAGCTCCTCTGTTTGCTAAATCCTCCACTTTCTACAACCCATGCATATATGTCATTGCTAATAAAAAGTAAGTATTGGAATTTCTTTAATAACTTCATATCACTATTTATTTCATAGGCTTTACTCTAACTATTTTTTTCTTCATAAATTCTCTTAAATATACAACTTTTAAATGTTATGTATTATTATTAACCATAGTTTTTATTGGATGTGCCCAGGAACAGACTGGCCTGTTTGTCCTTTATTGCAAGCAGTCATTGGTTAAAAGTTGAGGGCTTTTTTTTTTTTTTTTTAGAAATCATACTTACCTAGGTAGGTGCAGCATCGGTCCAGTGCTTCATCCGTTTCCCACTGGCTCTAAGACTGAGAACTGAGTGATCAAAGACCACTGATCGCTCAGTTCTCAGTGTTGCGTGAACACAGAGCTGGTGATTGTCTCTGCTCTGCCCCCTGTGCTCACTGGAGTGCTGGGCTGCGGAGGGGAAGGGAGTGGTTGGCTCAGGTTCTCAGGACCAGGTGCTGGTCCAGGGATCTGTGTGGATCCCAAATTTAAATTTGGGATCTTTCCCCAGCCTGGACCGGCTGAATGGCATCAGCAACAGCGGACTTTAGCTCGCTGTCAGCTGAAAACGGGTTTAAAGGAGTGCAGAATGAACTTCCACAGGTGAAGTACAGCCAAAAAGGCTTTGGCTGTACTATTCCTTTAAGCTGATAAAAACTACTAGACTCATATGTTGATCTGTCACATACTGTATAGCAATATATTTTGTTTGCTCTTGTATATATACAGTGTATTCCTAAATAAATGATCTCTTTACATTTTACTACAGGTTCAGGCGTGCAATACTTTCCATGGTGAGATGCAAGGCACGTCAAGAAGTAAATCTTGATAACCAGTTTGCAATGAGTGTCTCCCAAAATCCTTTAACAGCTAACACATAATCAGTATGAAATGATCTGTTTATTCGGAGACTTTTTCTATGTGAAATATCTTCACAAGGATGTGTAGGCAACAACTGGTAAAAAGTGAATCATGGAATCAAGGATATACAAGGCACCAGCAGTTTCACCACTACAATCTCAATACTCCTCTTTTATACTTACATGAAATAAATTTATCTCAAAGTTCCTAATAAAGATGAAATTCATTCTATATTGATTTTTGTTGCTTTTAGAAGTGACCAATAATTCCGTTGTTAATAGTAGTATTTGCTCTTGCGGAGACATCCCCCAGAATTTGTATTTCATTGGAACTCATAACAACAAAGCCACACTTAACGTGTATGTAAAGGCAAACAATTTTTCATTTTTCTTGTGAAGTATTGCATTTGGAATTGTTAGGCACCCCAATTTTTAATGCTCTGTGTCTCCACTGGGGAAATTTACCACTCTATTTCTCCTGGTGACCATGGTCACTGAGACAGAAATTAAAGCGGAGCTCCACCCAAAAGAGGAAGTTACGCTTTAAGGACTGCTCCCCCGCTCCCCATTAAGGATTGGCACCTTTGGGGGCGTGTACCCGAATTTGCCAGGTACCCGCTCCCATTTCCAGTCCGATTGCCTAGGAGATCGGAAACGGTAGGTGTCCTCCCTCCCTCCCTGTAGTCTTTTGGGACATGTGACAGGTCCCAGAAGACTACAAGACCCTTCATGAAGCGCAGCGCTACTCATACGCAGTTGGTAGGCAGGCTGTGAACGCAAGCTATCACAGCCGGGTGCCCACACTGAAGATGTCGGCCTCCTGGAATATTGTAGCTGCTGACTTTTATTTTTTAAACAGGGTGAGTGGAACTCCGCAAATGGGGAAATCCTTCTTTTTTGAGTTGTCAAGAGAATAGGAGCTGAGAGGGAATCTTAAAGTGAGAACAAATGTTCTGATTGCAACTGCCTAAGAGGGGAATCCCCTAAATTTCTTCTTGTTTCCTGTTATGTCTCCAGGTTAGAAAGTGAAGGGAAATCTCCCCAGTGGGACACAGACAGCAAAAAAATAACATGATGGGTTTGAACACTCCCTCATTCATTTCAAAACTAAAATAAAATATTTGGCTACACAAACACTTTCAAATCAAATGCCAGGGGGATATTAACAAAAACACCAATGAATGGATTTCTATATTTATTAAAAATCGATTAATGTTTTTTATATGCAAAAAAATCAAAAGCAAAGTGTCGCGTTCCACTACCAATGAGGATGAAAAATGTAAATGATATAAAGTGTATAAACATACATTTATAAAGAAATATAAAAAATGATATTGAATTAAATGAAATAAATTAGTCCAGCATCAATTAAACAAGTGATAGTGCAATCATGCTGCTGCTGCTGCTGCTGCATGCATGTCTTTGAATAAACCATGATTTTAGTGTATCTTCTAATGGTGTAATATGAGATAAATATCGTGTAGTCCACCAATCTTAAATTGTGTGCACCAGTTGTGCTCTCATCTGGCGTATATGACCAAACCATTAAGTGAGGTCATAAAGGCTTGTGTCCCTTTAATTGGACTCAGAGATGAACAGACGTATATATCTCTATTTCCTAGATGGATGGATTAAGTTTTTCCCTTTTCCCAGCAGGGGGTCTCGTCGCTTCCTAGGGACCTTTTTCCTGGAGGTGGATGGATGGAGGGAGTTATCCCTCTTCCCACTAGGGGGTCTCTTCACTTCCTTAGGATTGTTTTTAATCATTTTAATTTTTATCGTCATTTCATTCAAAACACTTGGTGTAATTTTTATGAATTAATTGTTTTTTACAAATTCACATAATTTATATTTTATTCACATAGAGTATATACTATAGTAGCTCACAAGAACCACGTTTTATCATTTTTTATATGCAACCAGTATTAATAGATAGATAGTGTAAAAAGCAAGGGGAATCAGTAGAAGCCAGTCAGTTGTCCGGTGTGCACATGTGGTTACAGGGAACATGCTGGCAGGAGATTTCCATATATAAAATTACAGATTGAGGGCACAGAGGTAATCTAACTATGCTGCTTAAAACGGAACTACACTCCATCAAAGCACCACAAAGCAAAAATGTTATTTAATTAATGTTTAATATTCAAAGCAAACTTCCCCACACAGCCAAGTCTCCATACTTTATTTTGCTACAAAAATCACTTTGGAAAACACCCCAAGTATTTCTGATCGTGGTCACCTAAAGTATGGGCAGAAGATTCATGTTAGCATTGACTTCCTGGAATCCATCAGCCCTTAGTTCAAGCATACAAGGAGGAGGGCTTGCTTATGAGAAAACCCCTCCCCCCCCAGAAGACTTCTGGGATGTATGACATAATATGCCTAGGCAAGAGACAAGGAAGTAACTAAAGAAATAGTTTAAACCAAGTAAATATGATATAGGTTCCTATCTATTTACAGAGGCGTCCCTAGGGTTGGTGTCACCCGGTGCGGTAACACTTGTGACACCCCCTCCGACGTTCCCCTCATAATGGATCGGATCTGTGGATTGAGCATAATGGATTGGACTCCAATCCATTATGCTCAATCCACAGATCTGATCCATCCTGTGGGGATCATCGGCTTGCTTTACAGCTTACCTTTTCGTGGAGCGGGTCCAGTGTCACCCCATGCGGTAGGTGTCACCCGGTGCGGCGCGCACCCCCCGCACCAGCCTGGGGACGCCACTGTCTATTTACTAATGCTGCTGTCAGCATAAGATTGTCAATGTTGATTGAGAGAGTGAAGTTCCACTTTACCTGCAGCAAAAAAAGGCAATTCATCAGCCTGGCTGTCCTGTGTGGTAGAAATGTGTAAATCAGGAGTGGGAATACAGAAACTCAAATCTTATACCTGGCAAGACAGCTCCCAAATAGGTCTCACGACTGTGTATTTATCTGTTTGTCTGTATTTTAGCTTTAAAATAATTGATTGTTAGAGTGTGTGGTTTGGTGGAGACATGTAGGCTAAAGCCACTCCTTATAGTTCATTTACTTGGGCTGGTCAGGAGTAGTGGCGATCCTTTCCTGTTTTCATTGAAAGTTGTTTGGTCTTTTTGGTTCCTGAACAAACTTTTAACATTGCCCAAATGCAATACAATAAAAACTACTCTGGAACATTAAAGTTTCTTACTTTATTTTTATCCAATATTTAATAGCTTTAATTAGCAAATACAAAATTATGGTGACAGTAAATAGCAAAGAGAAGAAGGATGGATGAGAAGAAGGGAGGAGTAGTGGAGAGGGAAAGAATAGCTAAGTAGAAGGGAGGACAATTAGGGAGGGGATGGGTGAGGAATGAGGAAGGACAAGCTAGGAGGAGAAAGATGGGTGAAAAGGAGGGAGGACAAGCAAGGATAACAAGTATGGAGGGTGAATCATTATTGAGGACCAGGAAGACTAATAAGAAAAGAGGGCAAAAATTGAAGAAACGGAGGCATGACAAGCAGAAAGGAAAAGGCTGGCAAGAAGCAGGGATGACAAGTTGGGTGGAAAAAGACAGCTAAAAGCAGAGATGATGTTGTTAAAAAGATTGGATGATAAGTGGGGTAGAGAAGGACCGCTGAAAATCAGGTATAACAAGCATGGCTATAACCCCGTACACAGAATGAGAATATCGGACAAATGATCGTCCATTTTTTTTTTTTTGCATGCTAGTCTCATCATATCAAAAATTAAAAGGTTACTAAAATTAGGAAAATTCTTGTACGACGTTGTGTATTGTAATGTATTTGTATTGTATTTTCAGACAAAAACTGAACTGATTAAACAAACATTCTGGAATAAAATTAGACCAGATGTCTGTAACAATATTCTCTGCCCACTTTCATAGCTAATTTTCAAAGTACAGTACACTATGATGGATTGATATAAATTCCCCTCACTTTGGAGAGATTGTCTTTGATTTCCTGTTGCACTTTCAGGACAGAAAGTAAAGGGAAACCTCCCTAATGGGATACAGGCAGCTCTCTATGAATAGAGGACAGATGGATGAATGAAAGGTCTGCTTCCTCCATTCATAGTATATTTTTTTTCATTCATAGCTATATGACAGCTTTTATGAGTGTAGGAGGTGGGTATAGTTGGTACTCTTGACAAGTTCATATAACAGGTCCCCCAGCTAGTAATAACATTGGCAACACCAGAAGATTACGGCTGCAGGGATGGGGAGGGATCTCAGTGAACAGATGACTTCAACTGAAACCACAGCCAGCAGCACAGGGGACACTTTACGTAGATTGTACATACAGTCCCTTGTGCTGATTTTTTTTTTTTTAATTTACTACATTTAGGCTTAAACATTTTCAGAACGTATTCATATTATCCAGGGCTATGGTGCGCAAAGCCTTTTCTCTAAAGCAGTACATGCATAGCATATACACTGCAATGTGGGTGCATTGTCCACTACTGTTTGGAGAGTGTGTTTTGAATGACAACTGTAATACACCAAGGTATGCACATTGCAGCTTGGTTTAAGCTGCTCATTTTACTGTGCCTTACTGTAATGCACCAATGTTAATGGGTCCTTTAGGGATAAACAGGGTTTCAGTCATTGTGAAGGAAGGCTATATGTCTAGTGTCCACCCATTCTCTTGCTTTAGGATTTGACAATATGTTATTAACCCTGAATGTATCCCCTTTCACCAACATTAGCTACTAGAATCATAGATCTAGAACTTTTAACCCGGTTGTCTCTGTCTTCATCTTTACTATATAAAAATCACATTGTAAACATGGCCATTTACATTCCCAGCAGAATTTATCATTAGACAAATATTCCTGTTTTTTCTGATATCTGTAATTTCTAATGAGTGCATTGCATGGATGGGGGTGGTATACAGTGTGTTCGCAATGTTTTACTGATGCCCAGGCATGGTTGTGGGCTGGGCTGTGATGGATTAAACACATTAAAGTAAAATTACAGGCAAAACTTTTTATTTTTATTTTGAATAGAGCATTAGAAGGTTATAACCCCTGCCAGAC